ATTGGCATATTTGACTTCTTCCATTAAACCCCATAAAATCCATAAACCTCCATAAAATTGACAACACTCAGAGATCCAGCTCCTTCTTTCTGGTTACAGGTTTTTAGTATCAAGCTATGGTAACTAAACAATATAAAATAAATTCAAATCAGCAACCATTAGACATATAAGTATGGCATAGATAAAAGGTGTTTCTGTTACTTCTATATTTTACATTTTATAGATTACTTTACAAACGTATTTATGGGGGGGGGGGGGTATCACTATGTGAGTTTTTGTGTGGCACTGTTATGAAATGAGGACTCTTGACTGCGAATCAAATCTTCCTTCTGGTATAAATAAAGTAACCTAATCTAACCTAATCTAAACTACAGAGTATGACTTAAAAGCTGGCTTCTATGTTACAACCAAGGGGGGGAAAAAGGAACAATTTGAGAGCAAATAAACACCAAGAATGTACTAGAAGACTGGAAAAAATATCAAGACATGGAAATGTTCTGGAAGAGCTGTTAATTACATTATAATGGGCATACCAGATCAATGTCGGCCTATTCTACTGGACCTCTAAACATTACAGCAATGTGATGGCATGCGAATATCATATTTTAATGAGCCTAAAATCAGAGCTATCCATCAAGTCCTATGTGCTTGCCAAAATCGGACGAAAACATTTCCCAGCCAACCACACTGTCCGTCCTTTATTTCTATAATAGAGCATCACCGGCCTCAATCTTTGAGAGCAGTCTCACAGTTCTTCAAGAGCCCGGCACACCTTCTAAAGCAGACCAAATATTACATAACTTCAGAAGAGCACAGATGCCCAGAATCAACTCAAGTACGGCTGGCAGTTTACCCTTATTGTCTGCTTTATTTGAACAGCCTGTTATTTGGTCTGCTGGATATTCGAAACAGTTTTATTTGGTCTGCTCTATTACTCTATTGTTGCATGCGAACAGCTATCATTACATGCTGCCAGTTATATTATCCTGTATACAACTGTTGCCAAGACAACTTACATAATCATAACACAGTCCTTCATTCACAGTTCTGACTTTTCCATCATACGGGATGTTAGCGAACAGTAAGAAACAGAGTTGATTTCATCATATGATGACTGGCAAATGATGTTTCTTCCTGTGTAACGTCTTCACTTAACACATTGTGAAGCGCTGCACTATTAGAGCCCTGAGCTTAACCAGTTTATATATGCATACTTCAAGATTACCTATTGACAAATAGGCAGTAAAATAGGCTATTTTTTTTTGCTGTAAAATACCTTTTTTGAAGAATAAATAGTTATACTAAATTAGGGCTGGGCGATATGGCAAAAATGTAATCTCGATAATTACTTTCCATATTGAAGAATAACACTATATATATTTTGAAATAAATTGTTAATGCTTCCAGATTTAAAAGAGTAACTCAACAATCACTGAAGCCACAAAAATTAGAGGGTCCATTAAATGGCATAAAAAATTTGGCTGATAAATTGTTGGTGGCTGAAAATTCGATGAATCAATATCAGCACACTTTTAAATTCTCATTGTTGCACATTTCTGCTGTTCTGAGCGCTGTTGAGTATGCTTTTAAACACCGCTGATTTGCCATTGTGTTCACGTTCTCAACAGAAACGACTGTAAGTTCGGTGAAGGTGATCTGTGAAGGTCATCAGTTCACTGAACTTCTGTTGAGCTTGTGAACAAGATTGCAAATCAGGGGTGTTTAAAAACATGCTCAACAGCGCTCAAATGTTAGCGGGAAATGGACATTTTTTAAATTTCGGTATCAATTGGTAACGAACAGTATCGTGACAACACCATCCATAATATACAAATAGTGGGAGGGGTATTTGTCTTCATTGTTGGACACTCATCTTCGTATAGTGCTATTAGTTTTATATAAGATTAAGATTCTTTTCATGTGACTTGTCGGATATTTTCAATAAACAAGGGTGTCAATAAAACATAAAAACTTTACAGTAATAACAAAAATGTAAAATTTGTGAAAAATTCAGAGACAAAAACTTAACGGTTGATTCACATGGGTATCAGCATTAACGCTTCCCATTCATTTTGAATGGGGTGACGTCAAGCGTTGCCGAACTGAATTGTGGATCGGCGTTGCTCGCAGCATAAGTTAGGAATTTATCAACTTTTCAAACACCAAAGGAAGCATCAGCCAATTAGATCGCTTTAAGCAAATACCCCAGCTCAGACAGCAGCCAGTTGTGATCTAATTTCATTGGCTAATGCTGCTATGACTATCACGCCAACTACAACTTTAGACACACCCTGCATCAAGCGTTAACGCAGATGCCTCGTGTGAATTGGGTGTAAAGACTGGTTTATACTTCTGCGTTGAGTGATTGGCGTGACCCACGAGACCTGCGTTGCACGTAGTACATTTATACCTCTGAAACGCTAGCTGGCAGTGAGGTTTTAAGTTCCTTTGTTGAGTTTCTTCGTTGATGTTTTGTTTTTTCTGAATGCTCCCTTACTGTACAAACAGCTAAAACTTACTCATTCTGAGGAGGGACCGGCGTACTGTATGTGCAACAACATTAATCATAAGGCAAACATAAAACAAAAGTTTTCATCTGGAGCTCCTTCACGGGACTTAACACTTTTAAACACCCACTTTCAAACACCACTTCAACTGCTCCCGCTCCACACTAGTCACTGCTACCGAGCTGACCAATCACAGAGCCTGCCATGTGCATTGTTGTAACGTGTAGTTACATTTTTTGAGTAGTGCACGTCAACGCCGGCATTAGCCACGGCGAGGGGTATGCAACCACACAAAGGTAGCGCCTGAGTATACGCATGTGCTTGATGCAGAAGTATAAATCAGCCTTAACAGGTGCACGTCATGAGCTTGAATCACATGATTTTGAATGCGGTCTTGACAATTTAAAATAAGCATATGTAGGACAAAATGTATCAAGATCCTGTTTATATATATATGCACAGATTAAAAAAAAAAAAAAGTATTGTTATTTACTAAAATTTCCAGGTGTAAAATAGACCTGAGGTATTTATTAATGATTTTATGACTTTTCTATTTAATTTACAAGAGCTGTAATTTATTGAACTATGCTTGACACCACAGGATAGTTTTAAGATTTGGCTCGAAACATTTTTTAAATGTGATAACAGCAGTTTTTAAAACTAGAAGTCCATAAAAACCTTAAAATGTTCAACCATTTACTGCGTTTTAAATGATGACAATATTAATTATATTAGCTTTTGCCATGTGTGACAATAACAATGCAACGGCACATCAAAAACACATATGAACAAATTAAACTGAATTGGTAAAAACAATCAAATTCAATAAAAGCATATATAATCGGATAACCTCTGAGCTCCTAACATAACTGTTTTTAAAGGTTTATCAGTTACTCTTAAAATCCATTTTCCTGTGGAGTTTTTAACTTCTGCAACAGCTTTTCTGCTCTACAGCCGGGGTAAAAAAAAACACAAGCAAGGCTCTGAACTTGCATTAATCAAGTCGCTGTGAGGCAATTACAGTAACAGCTGCAAAAATGCTCACTAGCGCACATGAAAATATGTCAACTGAGACGATGATGTATTATATGAGGACGTGCAGTCATTACAAACAGTAACATTATTGGAATTCAATGAGTGCCAAGTGAAGTTGACCCATATCTACAATTACAGTTCCACAGACATACAGATGGTGTTTACAGCACTAAGATGGACCATTCACACGCTCAGATGAAATATAGTTGACTACTATCAGCTGTTTTGCAGAGCCTTATTTTCACACTAGAAGTATTACGTATAATTATGTGAAATGTTCACTTTGTCTTTGTTCTATCACAATACTCTTGGCCAACACTTACGATAACAATCTGATTAACAGCAGGTGCTTGTTTTATATAACATATTTGTATATTAGCAAACAAACATGCAATAAACATGTATTGTTTGTTTACATTGCAAGCAAATGTTGAGATTTACAGTTGACATTTGCATGAGGTGGAATAAAGCAGTAATTACAGGAAGGCAATTAGTAAGACATTCAGCAATAAATAAATAAATAAATAAATAAATTTATGTTAAAAATATATATTTAAAAAAAACTATATTTATAAATTCGTTATTCTGCCAATCATGGTGGTTTTCTATAACTAACACAACTTTTTAGATAGCATGTTTACTAATAAAAACAAAAGACACGGCTGCCCAATTTATTTAAATAAAGTTAAGTGACACTTTAATGTGCAATTTGTACTTTGTATGTTGAATTTATAGATTACACTAAAAAATAACGCTAGTTTCTAGTGGCCGAGCCGAAAATAAACGTCGCTAACTATTTAGCAAACCCATGCTAACCTGATGTCTTGCGAACATGCCAACTTTAAAGCCAGCCTTTTCCCGTACGTGCCCGCCCTACACTTACTACGATTGGTCACTCGCGCGTCTATCAAAGATCCCCAATTGCTGTTTGGCCACAACACACGTCAATCAATACTGTTAGTCATGTCTCATTGGCGGACGGAAATCCCACTCAAAAGATGGAATTCACGGACTTTCGGTGTACAGGCCGCTCGTACTCCCCCCGCTAGAAAACAAAAGTATGCAAAAAAGGGACTTTGAAGCAAACTAAGTAATCGTGTCCAATTTGCCTCTTTATGTATACAAGAAAACGTAAATACTTACACTATATGAACACTCGGTAGCATAATTGAATACAGTGTTGACAAAAAATAAGGTGATAAATGATGGCCAGAGGTACTTTTCTATCCCTGAGATTTTCTGCTCTCGCTTGTCAAGAGCTCTGAGCGAGCTGCAGTGAACGCGACTCCGTCTGTAGCCCACTGCCAATCTGACAGCCTCACGAGCGCCTCTTAAAAGTTACTCGCGGCCACAGACGAACTTTTTAAACGCATATTTACAACACTTAGACTCTGTTTTTAAGTCTACACAATCACAGAAACCACATTTTTGACAGATGAAGAATGTTTACAAACTTACCACAGCGCCCCTCTATCCCTCTCTCTTCTCTCTCTCCTCTCTTGGAATCTGACACGCCCCTCCCCTTCAAATATCGCGAGATTTTGCTGTCAGAACACAGCCTCCCAACACTCACCTGAGGTGTTTTTGATCCTGCCAACGTGGTGGTCGATGGCGATGCTGTGAGGTACGGTATAATTGACACATTACAGAAACTCATTTATTGACTGTAATGTGGTTAAAGTTTTGTTAAGTCATTTAAACGTTAATGTGAATCTGTTCAGTAATATAAAATGGCTTAATACTATCTGTATTTCGAGAGCTAAATGCAAACTTATTTTTGTTCCTTCCAGTCTTTTCAGAAAATCTTTTAAGCCAATTATTACACTTCTCGGGGGGTTTCAATCAGAGATGATAAAATAGCTATATTATAAAATAATAATACTGTATATTTGGTATAGGTTTTTCCTTGAATATAGCCAATGCTGCTGATATGGAATTAAAACATGAATAAATAATATAAAATAATATATTATAAACATAACGCGCTCTAACAGAATTTAAAATGTATTTAAAATTGTAAAAATTAATTCAACTTAAAATAGTTCAATATAATTAGTTCATGTAGTTAGTTTGTAACTAAAAGTAAAATATATATCTAGTATTCTCATTACACTGTGCTCTGTTTTTATTTATTTATTATGATTATTATCACTATTATTCATTCATGAATTTCCCTTTGGCTTGGTCCCTTAATCAGGGGTTGCCACAGCGGAATGAACCACCAACTTATCCAGCATATGCTAACTTTACATAGCAAATGCCCTTCCAGCCACAACCCAGTACTGGTAAAACATCCATACACACTCATACACTATGGCCTATTTAGTTTGTTCAGTTCACCTGTAGCGCATGTCTTTGGACTGTGGGGGAAACCAGAGGAAACCCACGCCAACACGGGGATTAATATATTAATATTATAAAAATAATTTTATATTAAGCTCTAACTTAATTTAAATGCATTTAAAATGGTAAAACTTAATTAAACAAACTAATTTAATATATTTAATGTAGTTTTGTAAAATTTGAAATATATGTTTAGAATCCTCATTTCATTGTGTTCTGTTTTTATTTATTATCACTATTATATTATATTCCCAGTTTTAGTAACAAAAAGTGAAAGTATCTCCATAGCATCCACATTTGTTGTATTACATATTTATATGATTATTATTATGGATACTAGTATTATTATTCAAACCCTAAAACTGTCATGAACATTATTTTGTTGCCATCTCTGAACTGCAGACTCTCTTATCTAATCCTCTACTATTGAGTTTAAAATAGCCATTTTGTTATCAATAAAACTAAAGGTAATCTAAACTAAACTAAAGGTTTAAGGCTTTGAAGGAGAGGAAGACCAGCCTGCAGAGGGCCTTTATTCAGTCCTACTGTAGTTTCCTTCCTGACTGATTTACATTCTTTTGAGGAGGACATCCTGTGCTTGGACAGAAGTTTAAATAAAGCATGATGGAAAATGCAAACAGTCCTAACTGAAATGTTAATTCACAATAAAAATATGCTTTCCTCATTATTATATTGCCTATTGGGAAACCAAAAAACATGCTTTAAAGTGATAGTACTATGCAGAAAATCTTTTCACTGTTAATAATACGTCTAAGTAAATAAAGCTAAACAACACTTTAGTAAATAAAGGTAATTAAAACAGATTAAGCTGACATATTTCCTGAAAGACAGTCTTTTTCTTTCATGTAAAATTAGAATGTTGTTTTATTGTTTTAATTTTACAAACAAGGCATATTTCTTTAGCTTTATCTGACTGATTTCAATCAAGTTGTATTCTGGTGCCCTCTACTGGTTACAATTATAAACACAAAGCTCGTATAAAGTTTTTATGTTAGTGGTGAAGCAATTACATGTGCACTTAAACATTCACTTCTATTTTTTTAAGGAAATAACTGCAGTAAAACACTTGAACAATGCATGGAGGCTTTTACTGGTTAGTCTGCATGCATGAAACTAGATGTAAGCACTACATACGTCTTAGCAATAGAACAACAGAGAAAAGAAAACAGAAAGAACAGCTGCGAAAAATCTCTTGGGGTTCACAGGATGTGACACAAGTTGACCTGTATTAATTTAAGACATCCTATATACGGTCTGCCAATATCTGGAATGATCATGCTAACATGACATAGTAAATAAAATGAACAATCCCAATATTGACACAGACGATTTATGTTTTCACCTCAAACGTAAAAGCAGAGCTCATCTGCAAGTCATCAGCACCAAACAAAACAAAAGTAATGCAATCCAACACTCTAAATCAGGTAGTAAAGTTGTTTACATGAGCAATATTTATAATAATGATTGTGATTGATGGCCAAAAAATAATATGTTGTTTTGAAATCTGCTTAAAAAGTAAATAAATGTAAAATGATGTTGCTCAGTTTTAACTTAAAAAGTTTAACTTATAAAATGACTTAACACAAACAAAAAAAAGTAGATATTTATTTGAGTTTAAAACTTAATCTAAAGGCTTCGGTTATCAAGTGTAAAACCACCAAATCCTCCGGCATAAATAAAAATTAAACAAAGTAGTATGAAACACAAATTTAATACATGACGATTATAACTTAAGTGCTATTAAAGTGTTAATGATTTCCATCTTTTTGCGATTAGAGTGTTTCATATATGATCATCACCTGCTGTATTAAGCTGATTATTAATCCTCTCGCCGAACACACCGACATTTCTCCACACAAACCCAATTCTGAATTAGTTTGATGACATTATTATAGCAAATAATAAAAAAACGGGCCACTTCCTGACATGTTTACCCACTGTCTCCTATATAGACAACCAGATTTCAGCTCAGAGTCCGGTTTACAATCACATGTTCACATACATGGAAAACATCTATGCCTAATTCACGTCTCAGTCTCTCAGGAGCACATATTCTTTAACAGACTCTGGTAAGGGAAGCTGTTTGACAGCAGACGGGAGATACTGCACTCCTAAGCTGCTGCGGACAGCACAACGGGCCAAGGCTCGCAATGAAGGTGGCTGGGCTACCAGGCTAGTGAGTCGGGCCAGTAATTGAGGATCTTTACTGAGCTCACGAGGTAATGAGCCATCGGCTCTGCGGATCTCGAACCTCCCAGCAGCACGGCACAACAGATCCAGACACTCCTCCTCCTGTTCCGTGCCCAAACCGCGAGCCAGCAGAGCCACCAGCCGCGAGATGGGCGTCTGGCCCTTTAAGTTGGTGACGTGAACCAGAGCGCCGTATTCCAGGAGCACACGAACGCTCTCTAGGTTTCCCTTCATCGCTGCCCAGCTGAGAGGTGTGTCGTTGTTGTAATCGCGGACGTTCGGGCAGGCGCCGCTTTCTAAAAGGGCCCGTACACACTCTGGGTTATCTTTGAAGGCGGCCCAGTGCAGAGGGGTGTCCTTGTTGCCGTCCAGCGCATTTGGGTGGGCACCGTACTCCAGAAGCAGCTCCACACAACCCTCGTCTTTCTCTGCTGCGTAATGAAGGGCGGTGCGGTTGTAGCCGTCCAAGGCGTTTACCTGCATGGCGGAGAAAGGGAGTTGTTGAAAAATTGATCACAAAAGATCAATTGGTTGTTTTATTTATTGCCACATCAGCAACTTATAGATATTTCATGGCAAGATCAATTTGGATAAAAAATATTATTACATAATAATAACAACAAAAAATTCAGAAGTCAATGAGTGATGTGATCAAAAACATGTAATATTTTACATTTAAAAACTTTAAGTATGAAATTCACTTTTATATATGATCAGTAATTGACATTTTTCCCTAAAGAAACTTTTAAAGTCTCAGTATAAAGTCCTTGTCTAGTAGTCTTCTAAATGTCACATTCTAACAACGCAAGTTTTAAAACAATTTTGTCTACAAAAACTTTCCACCAAGAGTCAAGTATACACCTTTTCGACTGTGTACTTGTCTATCTGTGCCTATGTGTGTGTAGTGTCTTTCGTTTATCGTCCTTATTGTTTTTCACATTTTGATTGTCTAGTGAATGGTATATTGTTTTGTATTTTGTTTTGGAGTATGTTGTTGTATTTTGCACTGTCTGGAGCTCCTAAGCTTTTCACTAACCAAAGTACACATGTTGCTGATGTTGTGACAATTTAAACTGATTTTTTGGTAAGGAAGCTCATAAAAGCAGTTCTGGCTAAATATATTACTAATATTTTCTAACTGTAAATTTAGTTATTCAATACTTGAAAAAAAAAATCATCAATTTTCAATTTCAGTTTAAATATTACAATACTGAATTCATACAAATTTATATAACCAATAATATAATATTTTTATTTTTAATTAAAAAAAAGATATATATATTATAATATAAAATTTTTAACGAGCAACATTTTTTTTTCTTTTTTAGAATTGTTACCTGCTAAAACAATTCATGGGGTGACAACAACATATAGTGATTTTCATAAACAAACATCTTTAGAAATATATTTAGTAACTTTGTAGAAACTAAAGATACCAATATGTATAGTTTCACTCCTGTGCGATATTAGTTCTTTCAAAAATCTTTTCTGATGGCTGTTTAGTAAAGAGGGTTTTTAAACACATTGTTAAGCAGTAGTTTTAGTAACTATTTTCTAAGAACTTTCGTCTTTCCCATAATAGCAGTGCACAGTATTTTACTAGTTATTTTGCAAGATACTAGTATTCAATGAAATGTAAAGGCTTAACTAGGCAAGTTAAGGTTAATCAGTAAGCTCATTAAAGAAAAGTGGTTTGTTTTGTAGCCAACTGGGGGAAAAAAATAATAATATTGACCTTAAAATCTTAAAACTGCTTTCTTTTCAGTCGATATACAATAAATAAAACATTTTCCAGAAGAAAAAATATTTCAGAAAAAAACTATGAAAAATACAAAGGAGGGATTTTAAATTTCCATATACACATGTATTCAAAATGTAATGAAAAATGTCTATATTATATTAGCAATTGTAAAAAAAATAAATAAATAAAAAATAAATAAATAAATAAATATATATATATATATATATTTTTTTTTTTATACAAATATAATAATATTATTATTTTTTTAATTTTTATTAATTAAAAAAAGAAATCTACAAAAAGAAATGTAATATATAAAATCAACATAAATGTAAATGTATGTTCCTCTGGCTTTCTTTGTTCGGGGTGGAGGTGCTCTTCAGGTGACATTATTAAATCGAACTAAATCAGTTTTCATTTTACTAGAACAGCAGCAGCATTCTCTGCTCTGCTTCCTGTCTGATATGCAAAAATATTGTCATGCTGTATTCTTCTTTTTTTTCTTCATCTATGTAAAGCACAATATACATTGTAAACGTTCTACAGAAATAACTTGACAAATAACTCATTTCTAAGAACTGGGCACATTTATGTTAAACTAGATTTCTTGATCAAGTAATCACTTACTTGTCACTGAACCATTAATAACTTAACAGCAAAGTGTGTAATTTCACTGCTGCCAGCGACACCAAAATTGCACGCTTCAATTTCGAACTGTCAAAACACTGAGTTTAGAGAACTGACTGCAGCTTCAAGCTCTCAAAGAAAGATTGTAGTCCCGCTGGCTTTACCTCAGCACCTTTCTCCAGCAGAAGCTCCACACAATCGGCATCGGCCACCATACAAGCGCAGTGCAGCGGCTTCAGTGTTCCATGCATCCGGTTCACATCTGCCCCCTGTAAAAAAAAAAAAAATACAAATTTTTATTGACTGTACTAAATGAAGCACTTTGCACAGCTCTGGTAACACAACTCACCCGGCGTATAAGGTCTTCTACATTATCATGAGGGAAGGAGCGAATGGCTGCTATGGTTCGAATGAGCCGCTCGGACAAGGAGTATTTGCTCTGAATACTCTGCATGATGTACCACATAGTAGAGCTCATGTGGAACTAAAGGACATTTCACCCAGACCGGGTGATGCCACGCAGAGATCAGATGGCTGTGAAAAAAGCAAGAAAAACTGTTAAAGGGGTGGTCCACGACTATATCATATTTTAATCTTTAGTTGATGTGTAATGTAGCTGTGTGAACATAAACAACATCTCTGAATGTAATAGGCTCAAAGGGAGACATTGGCTTTTACAGAGTTAGCTTAGCAAAGCCTTGAGCGAATGAAATTAGGGGACTACAAAAAACACGTCCGGGCTAGTGAGATCATAAACGCTTCAGGGGTCCGTTCTTCGTACCTCACTTAAATGAGCTAGGATAATTTGAAAGATCCTGGATCTTTTAATCTTGATAACTGATCTCTGGTTAGTTTGGTTCTTCAAACAAGTTTGCGATTCAGATTAAAATGTCTGAATGAACTGATCTGAGATCGCTGTGCGTGTTGTGAAGGACAGATCTATCGATCCTCAAAATCATGATCAGCAATGCAAAGATTGGCTGACGGCACAGCAGCATAATAACATCATCTGATTAATATTCATTTATCCAAGTGAGCAAAATTACATAAAGTTTGTTGTAAACGGTTTGTTAAATATGATACGCAATAACTTTGCACCTTTGTTGTGGGCTGCAGGCTTTACACTTTCATGTGTCAAGAGTATTTAGCAATTTATTTAGTTTTACAGTTAGAGCGTTTTTTTATTATTATTATTATAATAGCCATAGTGGTATTATAGTAGCCGGTTTCATAATCGGTGTAAAGAAAACCTGGATGTTTACAAAAGCATTTTGATATTGTAGTGTTTGCAATTTTTGTGAAGCATCAAATCACCGTCATTTTAGCTGTGAAAACAGGTTTATAACTGCAATGTATTATTGCTTTTTTTTTTTTGTCGCATATTGTGCATGTCTATTACACACAAATTGTACTAAAGCGATCTTAAAAGTTCATATCAATAATTGTTCTCTTTGAACCACCAGGTGGCAGTCTTTGTCATAATCATGTTCATCTTAATCATGTTTATATGAAATGAGCCTGCTCTCAAGCAGGTTTGAGCTACTAGAACTGTTGCTATGACAACAACTCTCGAATCAGTTTTGAAGAACGAAACGATCCTGGATCATGTTAAATTATCAATAACCAAATCCAGCTAACTGAGTAATCCACATACGAAGAACAGACCCCAGGTTACGCGCATTCACCACATGCATACACCCTGTGCAGTAAAGGGGCATGGCCAGAGGCACTGTTATGTAGCAGAGAAAGCTAAAATGCCGTCCAATCGCTGCCTTTTCCACAGAGCTTCTTCTGTTTCTGTATCTGAGCTTCCAAAGGACATGACACAAATACAAAAGTGCTTACAGTTTAATTTTAATAATGTTCCAGAGAATTATAAAAAATATATTGCTAGCATTTGACAAAGGATAGCTTTCAGAATATCTCCCAGTTCAGTGCTGGATTTTGCTAAAAACTCCTCAAAGAAGGAGCAGCTCCAACCATGATAGTTGAAGCTGTGGTTTGTGAGCCACAACCTGTTGTTAAAATTGATTGATTACATGCACAGGGTCTAGCGTTAACAGTATGTTGTAGCGAGGACTTAAACAACAGGAAATGCTGTTTAACACCGTTAACAATTTAGCTATAAATTCATATTCATCCCTCAAACCCCTGTAAACACACACAATCTTCACCAGCGCTGCAGTATCTCTCTATACGGCCGCTTTTCCTGCGTTCTACATCTCAAATAACAAACTCGCAAAAGATATGTGAACATTTCATATAACTTACACATGCTTAATTTGAACATATGTGAAAGACACTTGTCAGATTTTTTTTCAAATTATTTTATCCCTTTGTGTGGTTTTCTTTCCGATTCGGGCACAACCTGATATGGCTAACAGCTTCTCTGACTGACAGTGTTTACACAGCACAAAAGTGCGTGCTTGTAGGGGCATAACTTTTTTCCTGGTGACGTGGAGCTGACCCGCAAATTACAGCACATCATGTTAGCTGACCAATCAGAGCTTTTTGAGGGCGGGCCTGTCAGAGAAACTAGGACAGCCATGTCCAAACTCAGTCCTGGAGGGCCGGTGTCCTGCAAAGTTTAGTTCCAAACCCAATCAGACACGTCTGGGCTAGCTAATCAACCTCTTACTAGGCTTTCTAGAAACATGTGCAGGTGTGTTGAGGCAAGTTGGAGCTAAAATCTGCAGGACACCGGCCCTCCAGGACCGAGTTTGGAAACCCCTGAACTAGGAAATATGACAGTCATTTTTATGTTAGCTGAGTAGCTGTATATAATCAAAGTAAGATATACGAACAAATAATGTGATTTTCAACATATGAAGCAAGAGCACACATTGCTTTGCATCTTATAAACATAACCAAGCCTTAAAAATACACTCTTCACCAGCCCTTTAAGATTAGAATGATGTTCTTTAAAAGCAATAGCAATATATTACAGCTTTTTGTTCACTCAGGGGTGTGTGCATGTAGAGTGTGGTATGAAGAACAATATACATTTTTTTTCTCCTCATCACATAGCAGATCACAAATGCATATATTTTAAATAAAAACGAATAAAAGATTCAAAAGGTGTCAATAAAATCCATATTCTGTATATAAATGCCACTATTTCCACTATGAATAACATCTAAATACACTGTTTATTGTACATTAAATATGGTGTAAATGGAATATATTGCTATTTGCAATTAATGTTAATAGCATGATGGATGTAAAAACGTATATTTTCACTTGGTGTAAATTTCCACTTAGATCAAAAAGCATTTCCTCCTAGTGGTACTTGATAAATGCAGTATCTACCTCTACAAACGATGCTGCAATATAGCATTTCCGTACATAGTACCTAAAGCTGCTGCCTATGTCTATTATTATTATTATATCATAATATTTTATTATATAATATTAAACCTATCAAATTCAAATCGATTCATTACATATGAAATTATTGTTAAATGAATGTTAAATTAAATAGATATTCATTACAACATGAAAATAAGTGCATAGTAAACTGATAAACTGAATGATGAAATGATTACAATTTTCTTTTAAGCTATTATACATATTAATATGCATTTATGCTAATTATCTTTTAAACTATTTAGAAATACAAATAAAGCAAATATTAAATGATACACAAACTATTCACACATCTTTAAAAAAGCACTTTGACAAAAGTGGCTGCAAAATATTGGTAAAATTAAGTACATCATATCCTAGACATAAATATTTACGTTTAGGTTAAATGTTTACATTTTTGCTTGCATTTGTTTATAAGTGAAATACATAATCACTAATTTCTTATATTCCAATTTCCAATATCTATTTATTCGTACATTATTATTATTGTCCGTGTTAATCAGTTTTCTTTTTGGCAATTTTCGCTCTTCCATATAGACGGTCAAATCAAGCTTGAGCGATGGAAACAATTGAAATGTGTTTATGCCAGAACAAATGTTATTCTCGTGTAGTAGGTGCCTGACAGACCCGTCTTTGTCTTATAAACGTCCATCAAAGCATGCAGTAATTTTGATTCCAGAAATATATGAAGCTCGGTCTGCTTGTTGTTCGTCTTGTCTTGCTGTCAGCAAAGGTCGCCTGACAGACCAGCTAGCGAAGACGAACTAAATCGAATCTAAACATGACAGCTTCACAACGCCAGAAAACAAATATGTCTGACTGCATCTGAAATTCATGTTTTTAGCAAGACAGCCTTGTATTTATGTTTATTACTGCTTTCGGTATGTGCCCAACATGAGGGAACTAGCCGTTTTCAGAGCTAGTTTCGACACCCGGGACATGAAAATAACACATTTTCTTACCTTCAAAACTTCCTAAACGTTACTGCACCATAAAAAAAGCAAAAGCACAAAGTAAATGATATAATCAAAGACAGTCAAGTGTTAAAGCGGTACCTGCACGAAGTGAAAACAGCTGCAGGTTTGTGGCTAATCTGCCTGTGTGGCTGCTCAACACAAACACAGTGACGTCACGAGAGGAAGTGACAAACAATTTGAAAACGCCATTTCTCCGTCTGTATTTTTTGGCACGATACATTTGTAATGTGGAAATGCGGCTGGTAATAATGCTAAAATGAGCTACGCGCGTCTTAATGTGTGAGAGGCCATTCTTCACATACCGTCCTGTTCGTGCCAAATATAGACGCGATGGGCCCCGGGCTGAAGGTCCCTCAGTCGATGCCACTTCATGTCATTCAGTTACAGTAGACCACCGCTGAGAATAGAAAGAAGCAGTAAATATAGCAATGTCATAAATCCTTAGTTTTTTTTCAAGTTTAGTGCAGGTTAATGGGAGTGTGAAGATTATGGGACTTTTTTTCTAGAAACGTACGTTATTTGTTTTTGAAATACAAATAAATGCAACAAATAAAAAAAGGTTTAATCCCAAAATAATTCGAAAATGGACAGATGGTTGATTTCTGCGAGTTGTTCTGTAAAGGAATATGTCATTCATTTGGTTCTCAGATTGTTTTTCTTTATTGAAAACACTTCACAAATTTACAAATCCTGTCATTGTCCTTGTCCTCAGGCCAATTGAACCTACAGCTTTAATAGCTTTGTTATGCTAAAAACTGTTATTTGGGAAAAAATAACTCATTGCAATAACTTCAAAAATAGCAAGTTGTTATCGTTCACATCAATTGGTTGAAAACATGAAATTATAATTAAATTCTATAAATAAATGTCCTGTCACATTTATATGTATATATTCATATATACATCTATAGACACTTATTCACATTCACACACTACGGACAATTTAGCCTACCCAATTCACCTGTACCGCATGTCTTTGGACCGTGGGGGAAACCGGAGCACCTGAAGGAAACCCACGCGAACGCAGGGAGAACATGCAAACTCCACACAGAAACGTCAAATGACCCAGCTGAGGCTCGAACCAGCGACCTTCTTGCTGCGAGGCGACAGCACTACCTACTGCGCCCCTGGTCGCCATACACACACACACACACACACACACACACACACACACATATATATATATATATATATATATATATATATATATATATATATATATATATATATATATATATATACACACATACATATACATATATATATATACACACATACATATACATATATATATACACACACACATATATATATATATATATACATACATACATACATATATATATATATATATATATATATATATATATATGTGTGTGTGTGTGGATGTATGTATGTGATTGTATGCTTGTTTAAGTGGTTTTCAAGGACACAAAATTGTATGACAAGGGTATGACCTTGTACTCTATTAAGGTGATTTATGAAGAGGACAAACACTAAAGAAACCATACTTAATGAAGTCTTTTGACATTGAAAATTTGCCACAGTAGGTATGTAGGTAGTAAGTTGTTTTTACAGTATAAAATACATTAGGTTTATGGAGAGTCCTCGTAAACCACATATACACACCTGTGTGTGTGTGTCCACAGTAAGATATTAGCATTGTCACAAAAAGTATACATCAAATAGATCATAGCTTCCATTATACATTTTACAATGCATACATTATATCATTTCAGGCCTGTAGCCAGCCTGGTGTAAAGGTTTTCTTCTGAAAATGTGAAACTCTTTGCAGTTAATCACCTCATTTTCTATTTAACTGTGGAATTTAAATACTGCACTTTAGTGACATTAAGCACCATTTTAGTTAGTTTAGCTTGTTGGATCGACAAAACTGCACTTTTTAATGTACCAAAAATATTCCCTAAAGATTTAGAATAAAGAAATATGAATTAAGTACTTGTTTTTCAAATGCAAATTTATTACATCATGTATCATAAAAATAGTAATCTGTTAAAGTTTTTAATTAAAACAAACTGTAGCATATTGTCATTTATTAGACAAATAAACTGGCCAGCACATTTAACTGTCCTCAGTCAGAATTTGGCCCTTTGAATAAGAAAAAATGTAAACATAATAATACTAATAATAATAATGTGGGTTTTTCTATCCTTTCTTGTACAAAGTACATTTGAAAATTTGTGAATAACAACAATAGCCTAGTATTCAAATTCATTTTACTATGGGCCGCTTTTGACGCTTCACTCCTTTTCGAGAATAAGCTTCAAGAGTTAGAATAAAAGTTACTTGTAAAATCTTTCCTCCATTTCTCTTAAGTCAGATTGTGTGTTTTCTTGCACAGCTGGATGTTGGACTTGTGAATAATATTTGTTTGTATCAGTCAAAACTGATTAGCTGAAGTCACACCAAAGCAACAGCCAACAGAGGATTCTGTTGGGTCTTAATGACTTTTTCCCATGCCTTTTTTTCACTATTTATGATGGCATAGCAGTTAAAATAGCACAAATGAGTACAGGACAAATTCTGGACCTTTGTCAGCAAGGAGTGGGTCTTCCAAACGACTTCAACCACCCTAGTTACAAGCCTGAATTTGATTTAAAAAAAAAAAAATGATAGCAAAATTTGATAAATGTGACCAAAGACTGGAGTGATGACTGCTGAATAATCTGTTATCACATAAATACATTTCATTTTTAAAATATATGAAAAGAAAACATTTTATATTAACAAATATAGAGTTCAGATGCAAAAACCTCTAACTGCTATCTGAAATTTTCTCTTAAATTAGCATTTCTATCAGCCTGCCATGTTTGTACAAGTATTTCACTTTAAAGGCAAAAAAAAAAAAAACTTATTTGTTACTATAAAAAGTAAAAGATTTCTGAGCCTACACACAAAAATTGGAGAAAAATGCTAAATTTTAGAAGAAAATATCAAACAAATATCAAATATATATAACTATTTGAGTCAATACACATTATATAGGCAAGGTATCTTCCCAAACATCTAACATCTGAATGGTAGTTCACAATCAAGAAAAAAAGTAGTGACCAAATTAAATTTCTTTTGAATATTTAGATGTTTATTATAACCAACTAATAGCCTTAGGGCTTAAAACAAATGATCAAGGTTTTATAGTTGTTTTCATATCAAACATAAACCTCTAAAGTGCAACACAAAATAGTTCAACACCAATGAATCAAATGAACGAGTCAAGAGTAAGGCCAAAACAAAATAATTTATTTTCTTTTTGTGACATTTTATGCAGACAGCTAGAATTTAGTGTCTCACTTCAATCCATTATTATATAATTCTTCCCTTTGCCACACCAACCCCTAAATCAATTAACAGTAATAACCCAAACATTAAAGAGAAATTTGCTATTTTCTGAATATTTTTGCAAGCCTGTCAACATCAATATCATTACCTTATGCTCCTAGTATAATTTCACATTACATAATAAGATTTTTTTTTAACAAGTTAGTGCATTTCATTATCCTAAACCACTAGCTGCTCATATTCATTAATGAAAACAAGAAGAAAAAAAAAAGCCCCAGTGATTTGTTATTTACCGCATTACTAAGCCTCTAGTAAATGCATCAAGTATTTTCTCTGCTGAAATCTCAAAAAAATATACAAATATGTTAAATCTGTGATTCTCTCCCAATGTCCTTTTGTACATAGTCATGATAACAAACTTACAAGAGACGTGGGGTGGGGGGGTGCATTAATATATGCAGCAAAATTAAAATAAATTAAAAAATTGATTTTTAAAAAGCAATACTTTACAATGAATTGAACAGCAATACTGAATCCTCTTGATTAAACGTTTAAATAACAGCACCAATTCACCACAGCAGTATTTTTTCTTCTTTTCTTTTTGTAGTGAACGTATCCCTGCTATTCGTATTCCCCACTTTAGTCACCATCAGGTACCATCTACCAACGCAACTGCCAATTTCTAATTACCCACACACTTGCCATCCTATTTAAAAAAAAAACACACACGCTGGCATTGGCGTAGCAATGACGACACTCACATTACCATGGCAAAGCTCTAAAAAACCTTGCTGCGATCATCACGAGAGGATTTAGCACAGATATTGCCATTTATCATCCAACAGTCAAAACGCTCACACGGAAAAAATGTCCAATTTTAAATTAGGGGGGGTTGTATTACAATTAATGGAGGACACATTCAGGGGATACCAAACATATAACATTCAATTCTCCTTTGAATTCGATCTCTTTCATCTATAAAACAGTATGAAATGATCAGAGTTTGGTGAAGACAACATTTAAGCTTTGCCAAATTGGAAGTCAATGTAAAATTTGAGATCAGAAACCGATTGAAGTGACTGGAATGAGATGAAATATGTCACCCTGAGTCAGAAAACCCACTCTGGGCATTACATTTGCACAAATTAGCTTCCGAATGACTGGAAAATTTATGATTTCTTCCAGTGAAATCCAAAAAGTGATGAGGATTAATTGGAAAACGATTGATTTGATATAACAGTGGTAAGCATGTCTCATTTTAACAGTGATGGATAGAAACTAAACCGTAGATCTGCTTGACCTATATAGCATCATGACCAACAGCTCCATCCGACTCTGAACGTACTGATTATTAAAAGAAGAAATAAGAACCGATCTATTAAGCGATCGTGATTCTTGCCTTGCGTTTGCCCAAACCTCCACCATCTTGTTGTAAACACAGTCAAGAGTCTGACTGATTATCAGGATATTTGAGCATGCTCAGAATCAGCCCAGGAAGGAGAATGCACATAATAAACAAACAAATGAGAAAAAAATAGTGGACAAATCTGAGATGACACAAAAGTTGATGAGTGCCTATGTACCTGACTGTTACAGTTATCATTCACAGGCTGTTGGTTACTCAAACTAACTACAAAAACAATGACAAAAATCACACATAAAAATTAAAAAAAGAAAGAAGAAAAGAAAAGAGAAATCACCCATCAGCAAATCAGTGACATAACAGCATCATAATTGGCAGGCTTTGACTTCATGACAGTAGGCTATATATTTGAATCATTAACAAGGCTCCAAAATTGATCGTAAGTAAATCCGAGCGCCCGTTACAGATTAATCACGAGCTACAGTATGTCACACAAACTAATGCAAAACTCCAGACCAAAATCAGCCCTAAAGATACTTAGCGAAATATTCCACTCTCAAGCACGCGTCGCGTATTCTACACGGGAACTAGCTCCCCGAGGAGTCAACTCTACAGCAAACCACA